GGGGGGGAGATGAGGAAGAAGAAGAGGAGAGAGCAGGACAGAACATAGTCTGATCTGAAGTTTGTCAAATGAGCATCAGCACAGGCTGATTGCAAAGACGATTGCAGCATGTGGCCTGGAATCTAGCAGGGAGGGAGAGGGGAAGGGGAGGGAGGGGCATGGGTGGGCTGCATGATGATGTTTCGCTGCCATGGGAGCGCATGGTTATCTTGAGGGCATGCTAACATCGAGCGACAGATGCCGCGGTTCGACTTCGACGAGCTCGTGAAAGAAACTCTCGAGCAGGTGAGAAGCTGGAGGTGGGTGGCGGGGAGGAGCTGAGAGCGTTCAGACGGAGGTTCAAATCGTTGAGCCGGACAAGAAGGATGAAGCAGAAGAGACTCAAGTCACCAGCATCTTCGAGATCTCCCAGCAGGTGAGCGCATGGCGCCCGTTGGCACGGCGACCAACGGCGGCCCGCAGGTCATGACGAGGAGCCGGGATAGCATGTCGCTCTTCCACTCGGCGCTTCCTGTGCAAGTCGCCAAGACGCCAAATCGAAAGTAGAGCTGAGATCTCCATCTTGATCCTCCCCTGACGCGATCCTACGAAACTCTGTAGAGTTCCTGCTCCTCAGGCGAAGAAACGCACGTCCTCCATCCTCAAGTCCATCCAGGTGACGATTGCGCGTCCTCACAACATGCTTGCTGAGGGTTCAACTGCTCCCTCAGATCTCTAGCAGCCCAGTGCAGAAGTCCTCTCAAGCTCCTCCGCCGCATATGGAGGAGTGGAGATCGCAGCATGCCCCCCTCGAGCCGGTTCCCGTCCAGTACCCGTCCAAGCCGTCAATCCCGTTGGATGTGAGAGCTCTACACTCCTCTGTCCTACCTGCCTGATGATGTTAAAGGCCGGAGATCTGTGGCGGAATGACATGGGCTTGTTTATGGGACGTTCTTTCCGCGCATGCTTCAGCCCCTCGGGTACTGCCGCCTTGTTGGGAAGGATGGTACTGACCTGATCACCTTGACCGCAGGGAAGATCTACATCCCAAGACAGAACTACGGGAGTGATGACTTCGGTCACAAGGTTGATGTTCGAGACGTCCGCAGCTCATTGCACGACACATCAGAAGGTGCGCGAGAGCGTGGGGCACTTGGTTTCCTCTCACGCTGTCGCGCTGCAACAGGAAGAAGATCGTATGTAGAGCTCATGAAGGCGCATCATGAGAAGTTGGGTGTTGGAGGTGAGAGATGAGTGCTGTGCTCTTGCATCTTTCTCATGCTCTCTCTCCAGACTCTTCCAACATCCAGCAATGTCTGGATCACTACTGCTCGGTCACAGCCAAGGACAGGAACCTGCAGAGCAAGTACAGCTCCTTCTTTGCTTTCATCCGATGCCTGCTGGTGGATAGCTCAAGGTGATTTTCCACCCTCCGTGCTCCTGCGCTCCTGCTTACCAGCTCTGGTCTGCAGCGGTCTGCTGGATTCGTTCTCGGATTGGCTGCAGGGGGACTTGAAGTGCGTATCTTGTGTGACATGAGGGAGGGTTGATGTGGGGCTCAGACAAGAGATTGCGACGTACCTGCAAACCGGCGGCAAGGAGCAAAGATTGAACGACAGCCTGAGCGATTACGACCGCATCTTCGTCCACCTGACAGGCCGTCAGATCGACCATGCTTGCACGGTGAGTTGGTCAGATACCTCATGACGATCGGTGCTGAAGCCCAAACACAACCCGACTACATCTTCGATGAGACCTACTAACAACTGATTGTCTCGGCATGTCTGCTTTCCCTGAACTTCATGGCAGGTTGCGATGGATATGGGTGACTTCGAGCTGGCGTTGTTGGTTGCCCAGGTGAGGGGTCATAAGTGCCCCTGTGCTCGGCTGATTCATCCCAATCCAGCTGGGAGAGAGCACAAACATGGCACATGACATGATCAAACAAGTGAGATCGCCTGCTGACTTGCTCCTTCTTCCGCGACCTTGTCTTGCTGAAGGGATCGAACGCTAACTGACGGAGCAGGTGGAGTGGATGGAGGTCACTCATAGCTCCTACCTTAGCAACCAACGGGAGTACATTGAGTCCAAGAAGCTGTTGCAGATCTACAGGTGTGCCCGAGTTGTTGGCAGACCTCGTCCGTGAGAAGTTGAAAACGCAGGCTGCTGGCCGGCGATATCGATGCGCTCCTAGCGACGATGTGCAGCGACTATGAGCAGGACTTGAAGGATCCTAGCAGGTTGAGCTGACGTGACCACGGAGGTTGTTCTGAGTCGAAAGTCCCAGGCGAAGGTTGATCGGAGGTCAAATGCTGGACTGGAGGAGATGTTTTGGATTGTACCTCTGGTACAACCCTTGCAGTGTGCGCGCGTGCTTCGCTGGGAGTGATTGAGATGCCAGGTATGCATATCCCAACCAAGACATCATGAAGTTGCCGCCTGAAGGCATGAGATCGCATAAGATGGTCAGCCCTTGTCTTCCTCTTCCCTCTCAGTTTCCTGATCAAACTGCTCAGGATTTGTTCTCAGACAAGAGAAAGGTATTCCGTCTTGTCCTGCTCCTGCTCCTGCTCCTGCTCCACTTGCTCCTGCCGAACAACCTAGTTTTGTCCCCTTTGCATGACTTGCTCTCTTAGCTTCACTTCTCCCTCCAAGGAGCGTTTCAATACTTCATCGGACTGCAGTGGCAGACCTCTTCAGACAGGACACGTCAGATCGTTCCACATCCTTGGCCCGCGTTCCTGCAGACATCCAGCAGCCGCCAGGTCGAGCCCCTCTCCTCATGCACCAGCAGACTTTTAGGCTGACTGAGCTTGCAGAGGGTGCCGAAACAACTTGTTCGCAAGATGATGCTGGTTCGCTCCATTACCCTGCCCCCCATCCCTCTTCTCTTACTCTTCTCCTACTCTCCCTCTACTCTTTCCCCAATCACCCCCTACTCTTCCCCTACTGCCCCCCTCGCTTTCCCGGTCCACTGCTCCTCCTGCTATTCTGGGAGCTTCCAATGTCGTCTGCCTCTTGTCTGCCTCTTCCTCCTCCCCTCCGACTTTCTCAGTCTGACATGGCGGCAGGATGGTCCGTCAAGAACCTGTGCCTTCCTCCCTGACTACATCCAACGGTCCCTTGGACTCAACCAAAACTCTTCCCTCCTCCCTGCTCGTCTCGTCCTCCTCGACTCCTCCTCCCCCTCCTCCTCCTGGCCGGTCGACATGCGCCTCCAGCTCCTCCACCTCATGTACTCGGACTTATGCGGTCAGTTGTGACCTTGTTTGAGGTGTTCAGCTGACGTCGAGCAGGGAAGGAAGCCTCTCTGTCCTGCTTGCTCGACCCCCAGTCGTCTCTCCCACACGTGCGTGCTCCTTGCTGCTTGGATCTGCTGACGGAGGAGCAGGAGATGGACTGGGAGCTTTCCTGGCATGTGTGTGAGATCTTCTCCCGCTGCAAGAACAAAGACAGCGCACGTGAGGAAACACAAGCATGAAGGGGGAGGAGAAACATGATAATCATGATGGAGATGATGGAGATGATCACGATGATTACGATGATCACGATGATGATCCTGATGGAGATGATAATCATGATGGAGATGATCACGATGATCACGATGATGATCCTGATGGAGATGATAATCATGATGGAGATGATGATGGTAATGATGATGGTGGTGATGATTGAAAATTGAAGTTTATAGTGGAGTTGTGGTCCAGGAGGAATAGCACCGATTTTGACTCTGGTGTGCGACAGAGAAATCAAGTTTGCTAGGAAGGATGATGTCGAAATTCGTGGGGTCGGAGGAGTTTTCTCTCCTAAGACTCAAGATCGCTCTCAACTTCGCGTCACAGGTAGGATATCGAAAAGATGCAGATGGGGAGGGGGAAACATTTGGGGCTGGGGGAGGGGGAATGTGGCAAGGGAGGAGAGGGAGGGAAGAGGAGGAAGGGGCAAGGAGGAGGTCAGGGACGAACGATGACTGTTGGCTGCGCAGCTCGAAATGTCAGGTCAGTGGGAGATGTCGGCGTACGTCCTGCTAGCATGCATCGATGCAAGCATGAAGATGGAAACGTTGCAAGTGAGAGAAGGATGAGGAAGTGAAGGGACGGGAGGGTTGAGTATCGCTGACAGGACGAGGCGGCTGAGCAGTGGGAGGCACTTTACCGCAGCTCAATCACCAGCGCCTTCCGCTCCCTCCTCGCTCGTCACAGTGAGCACATGGAGCAGCGAGGGTATGACATCACCGTCAAGGGCGTCTGCGTGTTGCAAGAGAGCGAGATGCTGCAGGTGCGGAGGGAGGGAGGGAGGGAGGGAGGCGATGCTTGTGCAGTTATGTTGAGGACGAGTCTGACTTTCTCTCAGAAACTTTGTGATGGAGTAGAAGTGAGGAACTGGTTCACGCAAGCTCAGGCTTGGAGCAGTCGACAAGAGATGGAGACGGTGAGTCTAGAGGTGTGGATGAGACGAATTGAAATCTTGTCGCAGAGTTTGGGGCATCGGAGGTTGCATCATGATAGGTGATGAAGAGAAGAGAGTAGATGGGGCGAGGATGGGGAATACATACCCTGAGGAGATGAGAGGAGATGAGAAACGTTTAGATGAGATGAGATGAGATGATAAACAATGTTGTGAGAGTTGAGGTATGCCTTAGCCTCGTCGATCTCACTTACTGTCTTAGGGAGTTGTCGCTCTGCCTGGAGTGCCATGAGGGTGGAAGGGCACACGAGCTCGGTGAGAGATCAAGTTTGGAGACTGTTACCCTTATCTTCAATCTCCTCCTGTCCTATCTCCCTTCTTCCTCCCGCCTCTTCCCCTCGTTCCTTTCTCCATTTTCTCTCGCATTCCTCACTCCCTCCTCTTGCTTCTTCCTCCCTCCTCCCTCCTCGCTACTCTTGCTGTGGCCATGACGCTTTTTCCCAGTCCTTCAACTCCTTCATCACGAAGATCTTCTCAGCGAGGACTCAAAGGTGATCCTGTCGCGTCCTGAAATGCTGAGTCTTGCCATTGACACGATGCCAGCTGAATGAGAAGACCATTCTGCTCCTCCGCAGACTTGAAAACGAAATGTCGAGATGGTCCGCTACCCCTTTGCTCCCTGCTCCTCTCCCCATCCTCCTGCCCTGTCCTCTGCGCTCCCTTCTACAGCTTCTCTTCATCGTCCCTTCCCAGCTCTCCTTCAGGCTGACCAGTGAGTGTCTAGGAGGAGGGAGTGGGTCAATGGGGCAGCCGCGATTCTTGCACTGTTGGAAGTGATGGAGACGGTAAGAAGGGATGGGGATGGGGATGGGGAGGGAGAATGGGGAAGAGGAGGAAAAGAAGAGGGAGGAGGGAGGGAGAGGGAGGAAGGGGAGGGAGAGAAGGGAGGGAGGGAGGAGAGGGAGGGGAAGAGCAACAGGAGCAGCAGGAGGAGAGGATCGAAGTTTGGAATGAGTTCTCTCACATGGGATATTCCAGATTCAAAACTTGGAGAAGAACAACTACGACTTACAGCCTGAGGATGTCATGCAATACCTCCTTCAGGTGAGACAGTCTTGACCTCATGATGAGGCTGCAAGGACGGGTTGAGGAGGAGCAGGAGGAGCAGGAGACAGCAGCGGGGGCGGTGCGTTTGATACCAGGTTGACCAGGTTCAAGGATGTGCAAAGATCATTGCCAGCTTGTCGTTCAATGTGCAGAGAGCATGCGAGGGTCTTCTAACCAAGGTATCCTCCTCCCGCTGCTCATCCCCATCACCATCACCATCCTCATCCTCCTCTTTCTCCTCCTCTTTCTCCTCCTCCTTCTCCTCTTTCCCTCCCTTTGCCTCCGTTCCCTGCTACCTTTTTCCTTGCCTCTCGTCCCTTCCTCTTCGCTTGTCGCCTCTTACCCCCCACAGGTTGCTGTTGCTCTCTGGCAATTCTCAACGGATCGAGCGGGATCGATGGGCAGCAGCTACAAGGTAACTCTCCTTCCCATGCTCCCCTGCTCGTCCTCGTCCTCCTCCTTTCCACCACCACACCTCCTCATCATCTCCATCATCATCATCACTACCACCACCATCACCTCCTCATCCCCCTCCTCGTCATCATCATCATCATCTCCATCATCATCATCACCGCTGACAAGCTCTCGCGATCAGGTCACGCCCCTCCGGCAGCTCAACCTTCCTCCTGGCAAGCAGCTGGGGCTCGTCCAGCAGTTGGCAGTGTCGAGCTTCAGGTGGGAGGAGGTGATCGCTTGTCCGCGTGTTGACGGAGGAGCAGGATGATGAGCGAGAGAGGACGGAGAACCGACCAGCAGCTCATGGTAAGGAGGAGGGGGAGGAGGAAGAGGAGAGAGGGGAGGGTGAGCGGAAAATGATAAAGGGGAGGAGGATATGAAGGAGAGGGAGGGGAGAATGAAAAAATGACGTCATTGCAGGAGGAGGACGAGGAGATGATGGAAAGGGAGACTGAAGAATGTTGAAGTTTCCGTTTGTTCTACATTCCTTTTGTACATTTTCAAGCTCACCCCTCCTGTTTTCCCCACCCTCCCCCTTCCGTCGTTGGTGAACCCACCGCCTCCTCCCCTCTCGCCAGCTCCTCCACCTCCCATCCTCCCTCCTCGTCGAAGAGCAGCAGGTGCTTGTGAAACTTCTTGAGTGATGCCCTGCGGATTCATACGGGTGAGGGAAGTGTAATAGGGGGAGAGGAGGAGGAGGAGGAGGAGGAGTTTGCAAGATCAAGGGGTGATGAAGAAAAAACAAAGCGGGAGTTACAGGAGGGAGAGCACAGGGGCGAGGGAGGGTGAGGGAGTCAGGGGAGGGAGAGAGGAATCGTCAGAGGGGAGAGGAGGAAGGAGCAAAGGAGGGATACCTGTGTCCTATGCTCATCAGGGTGATGGAGGCGTCGCAACAAGCCTGGTAAAGTTTCTCTTCCACCTGATCCCCCAGGGCTCAAGGCGCTGCCGCAGCTCCTTCCCTCCCCTTCTCGCCCTCCTCTCTCATCTCTCCCCACCCTCGTTCCCATCTCTTTCTCTAAGTCTCTCCATGTAAATTTTCTGCCTCCCTCGCCTCTGCCGCTTTCCCCTCCTCTCCCTCACCTTCTCGGGCAAGGCGCTAGTGGCCTCGTCGAGGAGCGCGAAGAGAGGTCGGTGATAGAGCAGCCTGGCACCAGTGAGAGCAGGACAGGGAGGAGGAACAGCAGGAAGCAGGAAGCAGGAAGCAGGAAGCAGGAAGCAGGCGGGAAGGGGGAGAGAAGGGAAGGACAGGGGAATGAGTGAAGAAAGGGGGGTAGAGGGAAAGCGGAGGGGAGGGCAGGGGAAGGAGGGAGGAAGAAAGGAAGGCGGAGGGAGGGAGTAGAGGAGATATGAGTGAAGGAGTGCGGAAGGGATGGGATGGGGTAGGAGCATCAGGAAGTCGGCACAACCTCGCAAACATGATCCTTTGCTGCTCTCCCGGTGAAAGAATAGAATTCCTGCAGATGACGATGAGTGAGGGTGACGCAGGAGTGTAGGAGGGAAGAGGGGGAGAGAGAGGAGGAGGAGGAGATGCAGGAGGAGGAGGAGGAGGAGGGATGAAGACGGCTGGGAGAGGAGAGGGGAGGACAAGCTACCAATCAGATCGAATCTCTGTAGACGAGAAGCGGAGGAGGAGATACTCGATGCCTGCGACCTCAAGACACCTGGCTCTCGTCAGTCTCTCCTCATCCTCCCCTTCCCCGTCCTCTCCCTCCCCCAACTCTCTTCCTTTGCTTTCCCTCGTCCTCCTCTCCCCACCACCACACCAAAATCTCTTCTTCTCTTTTCCTACCTGTCCAAGTCCGCCTTCCGAACGTCCTTCCTGCTTGACAACTATCATTTCTCTGTTTCACGAGACGCCGCCTCCCCTCTCCCTCTCTCTTCTTTTTTCCCTCTCCCCCTCCCTCTCCCTCTCCCTCCCTCCCTTCCCTCCCTCGCTCTACTTGAGCTGGTCCTCGACACGATTGTCTGTTACCCAGCACTTACGTATCGGCACGTATCCCTAGTTTTCCCTTAATCTCCTTCCTCCTCTGCGCATTA